AAGTGGAAGAGCGACTACCCCATGACCGATGGACAGCTGCGGAGCAAACGGGACGAGTTCTGGGACACGGCACCTGCCTTCGAGGGCCGCAAGGAGATCTGGGATGCCCTCAAGGCTGCCGCTTATGCAGCCGAGGCGAACGACCATGAGCTGGCACAGGCCATCCTGGATGGAGCCAGCATCACCTTGCCTCACGGTGAGTAGGTGGGGCCAGGGCTTTGTCCCCATTGGAGCGAAGGGACCATTCACAAATGGAGGAAAGCCAACGGCCATGCCAAGAGTTTTCTTCCAAGCATATAGGTTGGGAGGAAAAGTAAGCTGGTAGAGCAGATGTGTGAGGAGCCCAAGTGGCACAATGGTGTTAAGCGCTCTGCTTAGTCATTGAAGAGCCCACCAGGGCCTCTTCAGAAGAAAGGTGTGGCAGTCTGCTTCTGTACAGATTACAGCCTTGGAAAGCCAATAGGGCAGTTGTGCTCTGTCCTATAGGGTCACTATGAGTCAGAATCGACCCAAGTCAATGTGTGTGGGGATGTGTGGCTCTGTGCATGTTTGAACGTTCAAGCAATCCTTACTGAGCATGGACTAGGAGTGGGAGTGAGAAGAGAAACCAGACAGCCCCTGCCTGGCTCATGGGGACAGAAAGCACACCAAGGAGCCTGCAACTAGAGATCTGGTTGGCTGTTTTGGGGTCCCAGAAAACCTGGGGTACCAGACTTCTGTTGGGTGCTTACCATGTGCTGGGCAGTGAGCTAGAAGCTTCCACTGCACACTGCATGATCTCATTTAAGTTCTCAACAGTAGAGTAGAAGGTAAGAAGGGAACTCCGCAGTCACAGACCCGAATTTTGACTCGAGCGTCTGTCTCTGAGCTGTGTGACCTTCAGCAAGGAGCTTCTTGAATTTACAGCCTCAGTGGCTTCACCTGTGAAGTGGGAAGCCCTGCCTCATAGGAGGGTCATGAGACTCCAGCTAGATGTATACAACCTTAGCTCGTGCAGTGCCCTGCACTGAGCAGACGCTCCAGACGCAGTCAGTGTATTTCTGTGTGCAGTGCATCGTACAAGTAAGGAAAGTGAGACCCACTAGGGTGGGGCTAGAGCCCTTGGGTAGCACACATGGTCTAAGTGCTTGACTACTCACTGAAAGATTGGTGGTTTGAACCCACCCAGAGGCTCCTCGGAAGATGGGCCCAGTGCTTCCAGGAGATCGCAGCCCTGAAGCCCTGCGGAGCACAGTTCTGCCCTGCGCTGTGAGGTCACCAGGAGGCAGGGTCAGCTTAACAGCGGCTGGTTAGGACGTGGCTCTGTGAGTCAGGGTCCACTTTGACTGTAGCATACAGCAACGATGAGGTGTAAACCACTAATAGCAGGGCCTGTGCTGTTGCCCCATCCTCTGTCCCAGCCCCCAACACAGCTGTTCAGGGAGGACTTATTGAATGAACAAATGAACAGGGAGGTGATTTGTTGGGATTGGGAGAGCCAGGATGCAAACCCAGGTCTTCCTGACCCCAGACCTGTACCCCCCCAGTCAGGAGGTGGTCCCTCAGAAGTCAGATGGCGTGGTGGACTTGGGGACTGCAGGGTGGCTGTGGCAGGCGCCGAGCAGGCCCTGACAGCCTGCCTCCCTCTCCCCCAGGCACCCTCTGTGAGTGCTACGACGAGCTGGGCAATCGCTATCAGCTGCCCATCTACTGCCTGTCACCACCCGTGAACCTGCTGCTGGAGCATGCAGAAGAGGAGAGCGTGGAGCCCCCTGAGCCCGCTCCCAGTGTGCGCCGCGAGTTCCCACTCAAGGTGCGCCTGTCCACGGGCAAGGACGTGAGGCTCAGTGCCAGCCTGCCCGACACAGTGGGCCAGCTCAAGAGGCAGCTGCACGCCCAGGAGGGCATCGAGCCGTCCTGGCAGCGATGGTTCTTCTCCGGGAAGCTGCTCACAGACCGCATGCGGCTCCAGGAAACCAAGATCCAGAAAGATTTTGTCATCCAGGTCATCATCAACCAGCCCCCACCACCCCAGGCCTGATGGGCCCCCGGACCCCTGGGAGGAGAGGCCAAGGAGGGCCTCGGCAGGGCCGAGAGGCCTCCCACCTGGAGCACTAGGCCCCCCACCCTGCTGCTGCCTTCGAGTGCTGTTCTTTTCTTGAGGGGCACCTCCCCACCAGATGGCTGCTGGGCGAGCCAGGAAAGGACCCTGCCTCCCTGCCTGAGGCACGTGGGCCACCGGTGCCCAGCACCCAGGGAGCAGTGCTGCCACACACAGGCCTTGCCAACTTTGTCAGAGAAAAGGGGAAGCAGGGCCCTCCACCCTGCTCCCTCTCCCAAGGCAGGTTCGAGCCACGAGGGCTGGCCTGGGGGCCCCTTGAGCCCAGACCTGTCATCTGGTGCTGCCAGCAGTGCTCACTCCGGTTTTATGCTCAGGGTCTGAAGCAGCTGCTGTCCCTTGCCCCTACCCCCACCCCCTGACTCTGCCCTGGGCACAGTGCCAGTCCCCTAGAAGGGAGGGGACCACCAATGGGTCCCAGGGTGCAGGGAGTCTGAGGCGGGCCTCTGCCTCTCCCTGCCCCCAGCACAACTGGCAGAGATGAGGCAGCAGCCGGACGGCTGGGCTGTTGTGGCAGGGGTCTGCACAGGGCCATCTCCCGGCTGGAACCCAAGTAGTGGGGGGTCTGCAGCTGGTTGTGGCCCCACAGCAGGCCCCTGTGTACAGACATTATCTGCATATTTATCAATAAAGCCTTTTGCTCCTACTCTCTTCACCCGGCGTTTGACTTTGAGCTCTCCTGCAGCTTTTTTTTTTTTTTTAATTGTGATTTGGGTGGCAACTTACAGAGCAAATTCACTTTCCATACAGCAGTTCACATATACTTTGTCTCATGTTATTGACCACAGTTTACCACAGTGCAACAGCTCCCCTCCCACTTCCTCCCCATAGTTACCTCTTCCCAGTGTCAATCCCTCCATACACTCCTGCCCCCTGAGCTATCTCTCTGTGCATAAGCAGCCCTTCTTTCTCCCATGATTGTTCTCTCCAGGGAGTGTATCTACTTGAGGTAAATGTTCAACTCATATGCCTATATTTTGTTTGGCTGGAAACCACAGGTGTGGGTTCAATTCCAGACCTGAAGGGCAGCTAGGGGCCATAGTCTCAGTGGTTCCACCAGCCTCTATCGGACCAGAAAACCTGGTCCCGATCTTTTTTTTTTTATTTTCCTCCAAATGATTTTGAGTTTTGTTCCACATTGTTCTCCCTCTCTATTAAGGATCTCCTACATAGATCCCCTTCCAAGTGGATGACAGTGGTAGCCGGGCACGATCTAGTTCTTCTGGTCTCATAGTCGTATAGGCTACAGATCGGATGGTGTACCAGTTGCTAGGGCTAATTGTTCCCATGACTTTTATATTCTTCCTTCTCCTGCAGCTTTGCCCCATTTCCTGGAGCAGTTCTGATATGGGAGTGGGTGGGTGCAGTGCCCTCCCAGGTGCTCTGACGAAGCTCTGTGTGCAGTGGCCTGAGCCTTGAACTGCTAGTCATCTCAGGAAAAGCCATTTCAGCTCTGAACTCATTTTGCTTATCTTTAAAGCGGAGATGATGCCACCTACGCTGCTTCCTCTCCCTCAGGTTTGAGGGGTTTCAGTGGAGTGACAGACGTGAGAGTGCTTTGGAAGCACAGGCAGTACCTCAGGACGGGGGCATTAGTTACCTGCCGGTCTGCTCCTGTAGCAGGAGGGGCCGGCCCTCAGGATTGACGTTTGTGTGGAAATTCTGGAGACACCGTGCCCTTGGCGGTATCTAAACAAACTTCCTGACAAATTTAGATTATGAGTGTGGGGCAGAATTTTGTGTCAGGGCCTACCAGCCAGGGAACCAGATAGAGAAAGAAACTGGGTCCCCGTGCTTCTGTAAGAGAGTGTGTTCATAAAAAGAGAGAGGAATCTGAGATAAGGTTGTTTATCCAAGAATGGGCACGTGAGCGTTACAGAACTGTAGGCTGTGCCCTTATGGGTAAAGCTGGGTCAGAAGGACTCAGGGCTCACTTGCTCCCAGAAGTTCCAGGTATGCAACCAAGCAGATACAGGCCTGCTTTTTCTCCAGTTTGCAGTATTTCTTTCTCAGTGAGCATGTCCAGCCCCAGTCAGGGTAGCCTGGTACTTCTGTGGGCCTGATAGGGAAACGCCAGGAGAGGAGGATGGATGAGCAAGGGCTGGTGTCCCTCATCAGCTCAGCTTGACACTGTCCTCTAGCTTCCAGTGACTTCCTGAGGCCCCTTTGGAAGAAGGACCCTGTAAGTCCTTCTGAGGCGTCCTGAGCACTTGCCCTGAGACAGTGACTAGAAGGTTTGTCCATCACTAATGAAGCCCTGTTGGCACAGAGGTTACGCACGTAGCTGCTCACTGAAAAGTCAGTGGCTCAAACTCACCAGCGACTCTGTGGGTTAAAAGACCTGTCGATCTGTTCCTGATTATAGCCCAGGAAACCCTATGAGGCAGTTCTACTCTGTCCAGTAGGGTTGCTATGAATCAGAACTCCACTGGGAACGGTGAAAGTGCAGCCGCATACAGTGATGGCGCACCAGGGGGCGCTGTAGGACCCAGAAGCAAACATCAGCACCAGCTGTGGGCAGGGCGAGGCAGCTGCCCTTGTTCCCACACACCACCTGGCACTTCCATCTGGACAAGGCAGAGCCTGGCCCTCCACAAAACCAGCAGGACTATCCACAAGACAGCCTGGGGTACAGGCCTGCCTTGGGTCCCCACATTTGGCTTTCAGGCCCTGTCCCTGGCACTGGTTGGTCAGGGTTTTCAGGCACCCGGCAGGTGGCACTGCCACCCCAGCCAGGGGCAGCCAGCCAGCCAGCCCTTTGTACAGCACAGCAGCCTTGGTGAAGATCCAGCTGGGCCCCAGCACACGGCACAGAGGCTCCTTCCTGCAGCCTCTGCTTTCAGGGTGCTGTTCGCTCCATGGGTAGTGGAGGCAGTTGTCCCTTCACCCCACCCAACCCTCCATGCTCCCTGAGGCTGTCTGGGGTGAAGGTGACAGGTCGGGAAGGCAGGTGGAGAATCGGGCCGGTGAGCTCATAGCAAAGGCGCCCAGCCGGGCGGGGGTGGGTGCTCTGTCCTATAAAGCCCCCACAGGTTTGCAGCACTCAGAGGCCAGCTGGAGACGGCACCATGGCGGACTCCGAGGCAGTGCAGAGGGCTACAGCGCTCATTGAGCAGCGGCTGGCACAGGAGGAAGAGAGTGAGGTGCGGATGGGGTGGGGGTCTGGGGGGTTTTTGAGGACCACCAGCTTTGCTGTTGGGAGGGATGAGCTGGCTGCCACTCCTGCAGCGGGGAGGAGGACAGGTATGCCCAAGAACCCAGTTGCCTCCATTCCTGCTCCAGGGTGCTCCAAGGCTGCAGCCCCAAGCACTGAGGTACACTGGGCTGGGGGAGCCAGGCGGGGCTCCCTGAGGACTTGCTCACCTACCTGGGCTTGGGGAGACAGGCCGGGCGCACCAGGTGGAGCAGCTGGGACCATCTGAGGACATCAGGAAGCCTAGACTGAGGTCCCCCAGCTGCTGTATGGGAGGCGAGAAGGGAAGGAAGGAGCGAAGAATACAGATGGGGAGCAGAGGGATGGGAGGAGAAAGGGAGCATGCCATGTTGCCGGGACCGCCGGACTCACGTCTTGGGAGCCTGGGGCTCCCCTGGGATAGAGAGTGGGGGACTGGGATGCCAGCTTGTCTTTTCATTCTATTAAAACGAATACTTGACCTAGTGTCTACTCTGCCAAGGGTGCTATGAGGAATGATTCGAAGGTCCAACAAGGCCCAGAGCCTGCTGCCTTTTTAGCAGCCCAGCACTCATCTTAACCAGCATTTGCCAGATGCAGTCAGCTCAGAAACGAGGCTGAGTGGAGAAATGATTAGAATGAGGTGTTAGCTCCGAAGTGGAGGGGCATGACGGTGGGGCAGACAGCCCAGCTGTGGACCCTCAAGGAGTGCTCTGTGGAGAGGAGAGTATTCGAGCTGGGCCCTGAAGGACAGTATGTGGAGATCACAAGGGGGAAGGCTATTCAGACCAAGGACATGACAGCCAACACTCCGAGGAGTGAAAGCAGGGCTGGGATGAGCAAGTCTGGAACTAAGGCTGGGAAGGGAGGCAGAGACAAACCAGAGAGGGCCGTGGAAAAAAGATTGATCCTGTGGCCAGTAGGGAGCCACTAAATGTTGAGGGAGAGTGGAGTCATCTGAGCTGTCACAGGAAAGCGGCTCTGACAGCCTTGAGAAGGACTTGTTAGAGAAAGACTGGTCCTCACAGAGTGGGAAAGAGAGATCAATCCACTAGTCCGAGTCCCCTCTAGAAAGCACAAGTGGCTGAATGAGGGGTGGTGAGGAAGAGGTAAGAATGGTAATTCCAGGGAGACAGACCAAGGGCTGGGAAGGGAGGGCAGGTTTGCCGGAAGGCTTGCACTGAGCCTGCTGGGTCCTGGCCGAGGCATCCCTGCCTCTCCAGGAATCCTCTCACTCCCCACGGGCGTGTGCATGCTGTCTGGCATGTGCACGCTGGCTGCGTCATCAGGTGGCTGAGTCATGCTCCCGGCCCATATCTGGAATGCTGCCACAGGACACGGGACCTTCAGCAAGGAGACACGTTCATCCATTCATTCACGTAACACCTAGCTGCAGGGCTCTCAGAGTACTACACACAGCTCTCAAGAGTTAGCCTCCCACCTACTACCTACGGAATGCCAGGCACTGGGCTAACCATTTTAGTCATTCTCTTATTTAATCTGAACAACGATCTATAAAGGAGTGGGCGTTTTTCATTTTGTTTTCATGAATAGCAGCCAATTCAATATACATTTACGGAGCATCCACCATATGTCAACGCCCAAGTGAATCCAGTGAGGGGTTGTAGAGTCCCAGTAAAATGGGGGTGGGTATTACAGCACCCAGTGTTCCCACCAGGCCTCAGCCTAGCAGAGCTCTGGGAGAAGGACCTCCGTCCAACCTGCCCTGCTCCAGGACAGGAGGAGGGTCCTGGAGGTCAGCTCAGGCTTGGGGCTCTGTTGGGGAGCATTTACTGAGGACCAAGAAGCAAGCAGAGATGCTGAGCCTACCTGCCGTCATCTGCTCATTCGTTCACCAAACATTTGTTGAGCACCTACTCTGTGTGGAGCCCTGTCACCGGTGCTGGGAATACCAAGATGATCAAGACACAAGTCCTCTCCTCCAGATTCTCCATGAGGAGGCCCATCAGGGTCAGCTGGGTTCCACGTGCAGCACTAGACACAGTCCCAGGTCATTCTTTGTCCCTAGAAGAGGATGCAAGGTTTCAGGTGAGGCCAGCCTGGATAAGCCAGACAGGAGAAAGCAGTGGACAGCAGGACCTTCCAATGAAGACCTGGGAAATCAGCTGCACAAGACCCCTGAAGAGGACAACACTAGAGCTCAGTGAGAAGTGAGGAAGGCAGCTAAGCATTCAGTAAAGAATGGCCATTCCTCCCCGGCTGCCAGCTTGCTTCGGCTCCTTCCAGGTCTGGGCAGATGTCAGTGTGAGCCTCATACAGGGTCTCCAGAGATGCGGCACTTCCTTCAGAGGAGAGAAGGCCATGAGGAAGCAGCCCAGGAAAATCAGAGCCATTGATGGACAGAGATGTGGAAGGAGAATAGCCCGTGTTAGAACAGTGAGAGCAAGGTTAACAATACCTGGAGTCCACATCACACAGAGAGCAGAGGGCATTTTGCTCCCATCCCTTCCTTTCCTTTACAGCAGCAGTTTCCACACCATAAGATTTCATGGGTCAGTAAAACCAGAGAGAAAAAAAATTGGTATCTGATTCAAACTTGCCAAATTTTTATATTGCCAGTGAAGCCCATTCAAAAAACATCTCTTATCACAATTATTTTGTTAAGTGAATTTTTAATGCCAAATAGTAAAAGAACATAATCTCATTGGTTTAAAAAGTGAATATATTTAACACCATGAAAACTCACTCCAGTTGCCCTTAATCTTGTTCAGGGCTGGGTACCCACAGTCAGTGGACAGGTGACTGGCTTGGGGCTAGGATTCAGAGTGAGGTGGCAAGCTGCACAACTTGCCCCATTTCAAAGTACCCCCTGCCCAGGCCCTCAGGACTGGTCAGGGGTGAGGCAGACGAAGGGCCCTGAGGTCACAGGAGGCTTATGGGAGCTTCAGGCCCAAGCCTGGCATCCCTGGGACTTCTTGGAGAGGATGTGGGATTGTGGGGAGGCTGCCTGCTCCCCAGGGGCTGCAGTCAGGTCCTGGGCACGTCTTCTCCTTCACTCACCAGAAGCTCCGAGGCGCTGCCCACCAGAAGCCGTCTATGCACACGCTGGTGTTAGAGGATGAGAAGCACCAGGGGGCTCAGAATCTGGCTTTACAGAAGGTCAAGGTAAGTGTGGGCCTCATGTTATTAGTCGCTAGAGAAGGACATTATGGTTGGTAAAGTAGACGGTCAATGAAAAAGAGGAAGACATTCAAAGAGATGGACCAACACAGGGGCTGCAACAATGCGCTCAAGCATAACAACCATTAGGACGGCGCAGAACAGGGCGGTGTTTTGTTCTGTTGTACATGGGGGTCACTGTGAGTCTGAACCAAGTCAGTGGCACCTAACAACAACTACTCCTGGTGCTGTCCTGAGGCTCGTCAGAAACGCAGAATCTGGCGCTCCCCCCAGACCTGCTGAGTCAGAACCTGCCTGTTAACAAGACCCCAAGCGAGTCATGTGCCTGTGAAAACTGTAGAAGCCCTGAGTGATGGGACAGACATCCAGCAGGCCACGATGACCCGCCCAGACCCAACGAGCCCCATGTGGGCTGACGACAGACAGCCCTCCATTATTAAGTTTCCAGAACGGTGTGGGCAGGATGATTCCGTAGGACGTGTCATGGGGCTGGAGCCATAAACCAGACCACAACTGCAGATAGCTCTGGGAGGAGAAGGGACCCCCTGTTCTTACCTTTTATGCTTCTGTGTGGCTCTTTTTTTAATTTACACTTTTTTAAATTTTGCAACATACATTCATGCGTTAAAGATATTGTTTCGTTTTTTGGGTTTTTTTTTTTTAATTTGTTTAGTTTTCCTGTGGTGAAAACATGCACACCAAGACATTCGCCAACATAACAACTTCCCCATTTACAGCTCAGGGACACCGATGACATTTTCCATGTTGTGCCACCATCATTGCTATCCTTTTCCAAAATATTCCACTACCATTAGCATAAACTCAATGCCCTGCAAACAAAAGCATCCCCTTTCCTCCTTCCTCCTACCTCTGATAACCACTAATAATTTGTGGTATTTATTTATTTATTACCTAACTAGCAATTTTCCCTCCTCGCCCCTCCCAATCCTGGTCACCAACAAAGAAGTTTATTCCTTTTACATATAAACCTTTCCTTGACTTTTTATACTAGTGGACTAATACAATATTTGTCCTGTGATGACTTACTTCACTCAGCATAATGTCCTTCAGAAAGTTCATCCAATTTATGTGGTGTTTCGCAGATTCTACATTATTCTTTAGGGTTGCATAATATTCCATTGTGTGTATGTACCACAGTTTGGTTATCCATTCCTCCATTGATGGGCACCTAGGTTGTTTCTATTTCTTTGCTGTTGTGAATAGTGCTGTGATGAACATGGGTGTGCATATATTTGTTTGTGTCCTGCCTTTCACTTCTTTATGCTATATACCTGGTAATGGGATTGCTGGATCAAATGGTATTTCTATTTCCAACTTTTTAAGGAATTGCCTGTGTGGCTTTTTTTCCCCATATATAAACCTTTCCTTGATAGCCTGTATAGCTTTTATTTTACATATATATATATATATATATAGTGGTCATGTTTAAGTTTTATGAGCACACACACAATTAATTCATTTTGGAAAAAAAAAAAAAAAAAGGAATTGCTGCAGAAAGCAGAGAATTCAGACCCTGTGCTGCAGACCCGGGCTAAGAAAAGCCCTGGAGATTCTCTCATCTTATTGCCCACCCTGTGTGTAGCCCTGCAGCAGGGCAGCTCCCCAGCCACGCCCTGATGCCGTGCTCCCATCCCTGTTGTGTGTTCTGCATTGTGTCTCATGAGCTTCTCCCAGTCCTGGGAAGGCGGGATAGGCCAGGATTCTTTCTCTCTTGAGAAGGTCTATCTTCCCCACCCCCAAGCTTAGCTCAGGGGCTCCAATCCCTGCCACTCTTGTGTGGGAGTTGATGGGTCACCCCACACATAGGGCCAAGAGCGAGTGCGCAAGACGTCCCTGGACCTACGGCGGGAGATTATTGACGTGGGCGGTATCCAGAATCTCATCGAGCTGCGGAAAAAGCGGAAGCAGAAGAAGCGGGAAGCCCTGGCCGGCCCCCAGGAGCCGCCCCCGGAGCCCCCGGAGATTGTGAGCATTCTGGGGAGGACATATGCATGGTCAGGCAGAGTCAGGGTGGGCCCGGGATCACTGGAGGGGGAGGAGAGGGGATTCGGGGGGCAGCCCTCACTGACTGGACTCATGCCCTGCAGACTGGCCCCGTGGATGAGGAGACATTCCTGAAAGCAGCAGTGGAGGGGAACATGAAGGTCATTGAGAAGTTCCTGGCCGATGGGGGTTCACCTGACACCTGCGACCAGGTGACATCCCCATCCTATCCCTGCCTCTCTTTGAGAGTTGCCACCCCCACCCCACCCAGATCCAAGGTCAGCCAGCTGTGGGCCGATTTGAGAACCCTCATGATTTCTTTCCAGGGGGCCCCCCCTCAGAAGATTTGGGATGCTCCCCTCCTCACACAGGAATTTATCTACATCCTTCTTAGACCCATTCCAACTTCCAGTCACCTCTAGAGTACCAAGTGTCACGTGTTTATTTAGGGAAGGAAGGGGACCAGAATAAAATTAAAAGAGCCTGAGACCATCTGGACTCAAATCCCATCTCTATCTGTCGCTTGCTGTGTGACCTGAGGCTAGGCGTGTAGCCTCATTTTCCTCTGTAAAATGGTCTACTTCTTTCAGAGGGTGCTATAAGGATAGAGTCGACTATTGTTGTTGTTGTTGTTATGTGCCGTCGAGTCGACCCCGACTCATAGCGACCCCTCCTTGGGTTTTTGAGGCAGTATCACTACGGAAGTAGGATTGCCCAACCTTCCTTCCGAGGAGTGGCTGGTGGGTGTGAACCGCCAGCCGTCTGGTTAGCAGGCAAGTGTCTTAGCCACTATGCTACCAGAGCTCCCAGAGTGGACTATTAGCACCCCATAAGTATTTACTCAGCCACTCCTCGGAAGGAAGGTTGGGCAATCCTACTTCCGTAGTGATACTGCCTCGGAAACCCAAGGAGGGGTCGCTATGAGTCGGGGCCGACTCGACGGCACGTATCAACAACAACAACAAAGTATTTACTAAATGAATGAAAACACTAGAAAGCACATGATAGGACAGGATATCAGGAGACAGTGGTGGTTCCCTGACAGAATTCTTGCCTTCCACGTCAGAGACCCAGGTTCAGTTCCAGGCCAGTGCACCTCACGTGTAGCCGCTGCTTGTCTGTTGATGGAGGCCTGTGTGTTGCTGTGATGCTGAGTGTGTTTTATCAGAGCTTCTAGATTTAGAGGACTGGAAAGAAAGGCCTGGTGATCCACTTTCCTAAAGATCAGTCAATGAAAGCCCTATGGCTTACAACGGTCCGAACCTGTTGTGCACAGAGTCACCATGAGCTGATAGAGTATAGGGTATTTTGTTGTTGTTTCTCGTTATATGATACCGTACTTCCTTTTTTGTTTTCTCTGAAACTACCTCTTTGACCTTCATGGATGCTCTCTCTTTCATAGCCTGGGATTAAACAACTCAACAGTCACCCATCTTCATTTACATTTTTCTAGGCTTTGACCAAATGTCCTTTCCATTTTTTAGACTCCAGAGACTTAGCCTTTTGGTCTGTCCAAGCACCTCCTACATCCAAACACTGTGAAGGGTGCTGCAAGCATGAAAAAGAAAAAGACACAGGTTGACAGTAGTGAGAATGGCACAGAAGTCAGTAATTAGAATAAAAGGAGATAAGTGCTGTGGGCAAGGGTTTGAAGGGTCCACAGGAGAAAGAGGGCTGCATTAGGAAGGGAGGAAATTCTTTCCCTCCTTGATTCGGTAATCTATGTGCACCTGCTCATCTAGGCCTGTGCTAGACACACGGAGGAAACAGAGTCATGTAAGATTCGGCCTGCCCTCAGAGCTAGAGTCTATCTGGGCCTAGGAGAGCTGTGGCCTAGAGGTTCCAATGAGATGATGGCATTTGAGGTGCATCTGGAAGGAGAAGCAGGAATTTGTCAAGCACAGAGGGGAGTGAGGGCAACACCAGCATTCCAGACAGAGGGCACAACCTGTGCAAAAGGCATGGCTTGATAATGCTTGAGTGACAGTGAGTGGTCAGAGTCTCCAGGGCAGAGGAGGTCTCCAAGCCTGTTTTGGATGGAGCATGAAGGAGCTGGCAGAACGTGGCAAGACAGGGATCCAGCACAGGGGTCAGAACTGAGCTGGGGTAAGGCCTGGGCCTCGACTCAGGTGGGAGATGGTTCCAGGCCTGGGGAAGAGGCCAGGTCCTGATAGCCTCTTGGGTTGCAGTTCCACCGGACAGCACTGCACAGAGCCTCCCTGGAAGGGCACATGGAAATCCTGGAGAAGCTTCTGGATAGTGGGGCCACTGTGGACTTCCAGGACCGGGTGAGTAAGAGAGGAAAGTATTGGGTCAGAAGCAAGAGGTGGGTCCAGCACCAATAGCCCTTCTCCCTGTAAACCTGTGCCAAGCTGGGACACAAACAGGCTGCCTCAAGGGCAGCCACCACCTGTGGCAGGTTGTATGACCTTTGAACAAGCCCTCTCTCTTCCCCAAGCCCTCTCTATGTATCTGGTATGGACTAGATGAGCCTTGAGGTTTCTTCTGCTCTGCTTAGTCTATTGCCCATGCACAGGTGTGCTCCTGTGCCTTCCCCTGGGTAGCCCCTGCCCTCCTTGTGGGGTCTCTTTCCCCCAGGGCCCTTTCTACTCTGCAGCTCTGCCATTCGGTCCCATCCTTCCCTTCTAGCTGGACTGCACAGCCATGCATTGGGCCTGTCGTGGGGGCCACTTGGAGGTAGTGAAACTCCTGCAAAGCCGGGGAGCAAACACCAATGTGAGGGATAAGGTGAGGCAACATTGCTCACGGATACTGGGTTGGCTGTGCATTGAGGGGTGGTGCAGAGGGCAGAAAAGCACAGGGGCGGGAATGTAGTGAGCTGGTCTGGTGTCCAGAGTGGCTGAAGAGCAAGGGAGCTAAAGAAGTGTCCTGCGGGCCCCCCCACCCCCGGGATGGGTCCCTGCCATCGTTTGCAGCTGCTGGGGGAGCACTATGGGGGGGTGGGGCAGGAGCAGCAGAGGAGAGGGAAGGAGAAGAGATCATTGTCTTGAGGGCTTTGGGCCACTCAAAAGAAGCAGGATGTATTCATCTATGAAATCCTTCACCACTCTTCTGTTTATCTGTCCATCCATCCATCCATTCATTTCTTCATCCATCTGCCCATCCATTGATCTGTTCATTGGTTCACTATTTATTCATCCACTATCCTTCTATTCATTCATTCATTCATATGTATCCTTGGACAAGAGACTTTGCCTCTGAGTCTCTGTTCCTCATCTGCAAAATGGAGGAAATAATGCAGAGTTCTTAGGTAGATTAGATAGAGATTAGATGGAAAATGTATGTAAATAAATTATTTAATTCAGTCAATATAAAACTACAAACCTTTGTGAGTGTTTTCCATGTCATTACATCATCTCTCAATAAATGGCATCTATAATAATAATAAAAAAAAAAGTACAGAGGTGACCAGTCACTTGCAGTTGGGTAAGAGGGAGATCATAGGTGGCTTCCCAGTGGAGGTGGCATTTGATAAGTTGGAGTTAGACCATGGGATACGATGGTGGGAAACTGTACTACTTCCCTACACCTCCAGGGCTCAGGCGTTGGCAATAGGACTTGGAGGAGGGATTAGGCTGGAGTTAGGCAGCCCTCCTAAGGGCACCACAGTCAGGTCCCCCAGCAGTTTCTGCTTACTCCCCATCCAGCTGCTGAGCACCCCCCTACATGTGGCGGTCCGGACAGGACATGTGGAGGTTGTGGGACACTTTCTATCCCTGGGCCTGGACATCAATGCCAGAGACAGAGTGAGTGCCCAGCTACCCTCCTGCCCAGCCCCACCATGGGAGTGTGGGCAGCGCTAGGGCTCCCACAAGTGAGTGGTCCTTCCCTCTGGGGTCCTCAGAACTATCTGGGCTCCTGAGCAGGAGCCTACCTCCTGCCACCCCACTCACATCCTGCTGCCTTTATGGGCCTTAGGAAGGGGACACTGCCCTACATGACGCTGTGAGGCTCAACCGCTACAGAATCATCAAACTGCTGCTCCTGCATGGGGCTGACATGATGACCAAGAACCTGGTAGGTTGGTTTCTTCCCAGACTCAGTAATCAGTGTGCAGCTTGTCCAGGCCCCGGGCTAGGCATGCGGAGGAAACGCAAGAGTCCAGCGAGACTCAGCCAGTCCCTCAGAGCACTCTCACAGGGAGGGGGTCTCTCTGGGGCCCCAGGGCAGTCCCAGCTTAGGGACAGGTGTCATTGGCTCTGGCCTGTCGCCACAATACCCGTAAAGTATGGGCCTCTTCCAGACCCCATTCCAACCACCCACCTTCCCAGCTCTCCCTGCACATCTGTGCTCAGAGTGTAAGTCCAGGGAAACAGCCAGGAGGGGCAGTAAGAGGACCTCCCAAAGGCCCCCAGTGGACCAATAGTGGTCCTAACATCTGCCCAGGGTGGCCAAGATCATGCAGGGGCAGAGCTGGAAGGAACCTAAGTACTTGGTGCCACCATTCCTAGCACTGCATGTTGATTCCTAGTGGTCCTTGGGTTCTCTTAGGAACCTCTATCCCCTTGTCCAATCTCTTCATTGGGGTCCCTCTGGCCGAAGAAAAACCAGAAAGATTTGGGGAGTTTTCTCACCCTTTGGACTATTGACATTTTGGACAGGATAATTCTATGTTGTGGAGGAAATATCCTGTGCCTTGTAGACTATTTACAGCATCCCTGGCCTCTACCCACCAGATGCCAGTAGTACCCACTCACCCCTAGATGCAACAAACAAAAAAAGTCCCTAGATATTGCCAATCACCCCTGGTTGAAAACCACTGCTGTAGATGAGGCCAGCTCCTGGTACAGACTCTGAACAGTGAACTCATCTCCTCTTGGCTCCCCCAGGCAGGAAAGACCCCCACAGACCTGGTGCAGCTGTGGCAGGCTGACACACGGAACGCCCTGGAGCACCCTGAGCAGGGACTGGAGCAGAACGGACTGGAGGGTCCTGCTGAGAGTGGGAGGGAGACCCCCCAGCCTGTGCCAGCCCAGTAAATGGCTGTTCCTGCCCCCCCGTCCGCCCCCATTCCCCTCCATCCCCCCTCTCTGTGAAGCCAGTGGTCATGGTCCCCAAAGCCAGCCTAGAACTCTGAGGGCCTAGCCATTCCACTGCTTAGGTGGCATTTCTTCTCTGACCTGAGAGCACCCAGCAAGCTACTGCAATAAAAAAGTCATTTTTGCTATTTGTGACATTTGTCTCCATTTGTGTCAGACATATTTAGGAACACAGGAAGAACAAGGGCAAGGCTGGATCGTGGGGAGAGGGAAACTTGGAGCTCTTCTGGCTTCCCTGTGCCAGGCTGCCGCCTCAGCTGGGCCTCTTCTCCTTGCTCTGTCCCTGCCAGTTCCCATGGCCAGGTTGGCCTCTGCATGGATCACCTTCTCCCTGCACTCAGCCTGGGCCCCTTCCTGGGGATCGCTGTCCCTGGAGCTGAGTGTGGCCAGCATAGGGCTGTCACATGGACTTCAGCAGGAGGAGCCTGGCAGGGGAGTGGGATAGCGAGAGGCGGGGCGGCCGCCTCACAGGCAGCTCCTGGCCGGGCCACGCCTCCTGCAGAGCAGGGCTGGCTCAGCCAATCGCCTCAGCCAGCCGCAGAACTGCCAAGCGGAAGTCCAGCTGGACTCCTGGTTTGGGCTAGGAATTGTGCAAGGAGGGTTCAGACCCCGCTGGAGACGGGGCTTTTCCATGTTGGGACCAAAGGAACCAGCCCTCTGTCTGGCCAGAGGGACCCTGGATTGTGGCAATTCTCTAGCTGCCCGCCCCCCCTCCGCCGCCCCGGGGGGGAGGGAGGAGCCCCTGAGGGCCTATAGGCCTTGCCCCTGACCGGGGGTGCCCGGCCCAAGCCTGCTCCAGCGTTCACAAGTCAGGGGCCGCAAATCTTTAACTGGACACATTGATCATTAACAGGGGTAGGAAGGAGTCCAAACTCAGCTTCACTCGGGGCAGAGACCAGCTGGGCCTCAGGCCTCCTGTTGAGATGCTTTCCCCCAGAGTGTGGTTCTCTGTGAGGCGAGGACTGAGCAGGAGCTTGTCCAGGAATGTTGGGAGCCGGACGTCAGGGGAGGGGAGGAAGGTGGACATTGCGGGCATCTACCCCCCAGTCACCACCCCCTTCACTGCCACTGCAGAGGTGGATTATGGGAAACTGGAGGAGAATCTGCACAAATTGGGCACCTTCCCCTTCAAAGGTAAGCGGGACCTGTCTGCTGCGAGGTAGGGAGGAGGTTAAGGACCACGTGCTCCTCAGCCAAAGACTGTGGGGAGGAACACAGGTTCTGTGGAGTTTCCCATGGCTTTTCAAGTAGCCTGGGTCATTTTATTATGGAAGAGGAACAGGGTGCACTGGTCTGGAGTCAGGGAACTTGGGGAAAGCTTCCTGCTGGCCTGTGACTTGGAACTGAACCTTGCTGGCCTCAGTTTCCCCAGCTGCAAACTGCTAAATTGCCTTCCTAGCACTTTACTGTGGGGATCATACTAGAGAGTGGTGTGAAAGTTCTTGTCGACATCTAGGAAGATGTGAGATGCCACGCAGTAGCTGGCCAGCAGCCTCCCTTCCCTTCAAGGCCCATACGTTCTCTTCTGGGCGGAGCCTCCCTTGGTTGGATTAGCTCTCTCTGTTCCGGCTCCTGCATCAGTGCTGTCTAACTCTCTTCCCCTTTCATACATGGGTGTCCCCCTCTCTGAAGTCAGAGGCCAGATCACGTTTGTGATGCTCAACATGCAGCAGAGCATGGGCACAATAAATGAAGGTCAAAGAAATGGTGACTTCTGTCCATCCTGCTCTGCCTGCCCTTGTCAGTCACCCATAACAGTCCGGAGAGAGTACTGTCAATAGCCCCATTCCACAGATGGGAATATGAGGCTGGGAGGGATGCAGTCACTTGCCCAAGGTCACTCAGCTCATACATGGCTGAGCTGGGATTTGAACCCAGGTCTGACTACATGGCCTGTGATGCTTCACTTGACTGCACTGACTTCATTATTTGTGCTGAGTTGCTAGACCAGACTTGAGCCCTTTCAATAAAAAGAATCTAGTCAGCACCAGCTTTGGGAAGGAAGTAGCTTAGACCAAGTTGGTGTAGTGTAGCAGTTAGGAACGTGGACTCTGGATTCAAGTCATAGCTCTGCCTGATTTAGCTGTGGGATGATCTCTTTAAACCTCAGTTGCCTCATCTGACTCATGAAAGTAATAATACCCATGTCATAGAATGGTTGGAAGAAAAGAAAAAATGAGAATGCAAATGAAAGCATAGTGTCAATTGTAGAGTGAATATGCATTAAAACCAGTTACCATGGAGTTGTTTCTGACTCATGGTGATCCCATGTGTGTCAGAGTAGAACGGTACCCCACAGGGTTTTCAATGGCTGATTTTTCGAAAGTAGATCAACAGGCCTTTTTTCTGAGGTGCCTCACATTATCTTGACTCTCCAACCTTTTGCTTTACTAATTCCAGTGAAAATAGTAAAATGACAGTGCAGTTGGGCATTGTAGGCAAAGTGGCTTTATGACAGTGACTGCTGGCCTGGCTGAGGCCCCACTCATACCTCAGCAGTGTGGTGACATAACCCGTTCCTAAGGGACAATAAAGGTGCTGTGGACACCCATGCTTGAGCAGGGACACAGACTCTTAAGATATTCTACTGGGGCTCAGTTCATGAGACCTGAAGGGTTTGGGCTGAGGCCTGGTTCTCTTGAAGCAAAGAGAGAAGGTCCTTGAAGCTCTCAAAGGAGACAAGTCTCTACTTGAGCTTCATGAGCACGCTGGCATGGAGGTGGTATGGTGGACTTTGTAGCTGGTGTCTGCCTGCCACCCAGAGAATCCACTGAGACCCTTGTTCTGTCCCACCCACTGTCCCATGGGAGTTCCCAGGGAGCATAGGCTACAGCAGATTTGGCAGCTGTGGAGCACATGAGCCCACGAGATTGTCTCCTTGGCAACCAGTCCAGATTCCTGCTCCTACTTTCTCTCATACCCACACTCCAGGGAGCCAGTAGTTGTACTAGAAAGAGCTTAGCATCTAGAGTTAGAAGGCTTGGACAAGAATTCTGATTCTGCCAGTAATGGTGACCTTGGAGAACTCACTTAACCTCTCTAATCTGCTCCCTCATTTTAAATGGGAACTGAGCCTTCATGCTCCTGGCCACAGGGTTTGACGTAATCCTCCAAGGAGCTCAAGCATGGAGCAATGGCACAGAGAACATAAAGCTATAGGAGCCTGTCACACAGCCAAAATGCTCTGGAAGGGATCAGAGAAGAACTTTAGCTCTAAAATCTGTTTCTCTTGCCCTGTCCTGGCCCCTGAGATAGGCTTTGCAGCCTGACACTCAGGGTCAGAGGAGGGAAATACTGCAAAGCATCTACAAAGCCCTCCAGCAGCAAGTTAACGGTCCCCCAGAGAGGAGGCCTGCCTTGATGAAGCAGTGAACAGTTAATGATTCTTCTAGAAGGTGTTGCCTGAAATGAGTAACTCTTTTTTTTTTTTTTTCAAACATTGTTAGTTTGTACTGATTATTGAATAAAGAGTTTTCTTTTAAAATAAAAATTACAACTAGAGGCAGGAGAGACGAGTTGCTGCCACAGGAGGGCCATTTGGCCCTGAACTCACACTCACAAACAAAGATGGACTTTGAATTGTTATTTCCAAATGAGGAGACCAAAGAGCTACTCTAGATGGACTGGGGAGGTGATATTCCCCATAAAAAATGACACTTGTGTCTTAGTGCCTCAATATGAAAGTGCATACCTTATCGTAAGAATATTTTTGTGCATTTAAAAATCACTACTTTGTTAAATCAGATATTCTGTTTAAAATAAGACAATTCTTACAACCTTATTTTGACATTTCTTCTTCCTCTTTGTTTAAAATATATTAGATGTTTCTGGGGGCAAAAAATAGTGGACAAGGTCTGTCTCTTCTCAGCGAGGCCCTGAGTATAAGTCAGGATTATGAGCCAATCTCTCACTTTTCTGCACCTTTGGGAAGCCGTCTGGTTCCCCCACACACACACTCACAACCTGACCCCTGCCCGTTTACCTGGGCTCAATTCTGGGTTTGCATGCCTCAGGCATGAGGTAGCAGCACCACCCTGGAATGGCTCCGGGGATCTGAGACCCAGTGAAGTCCTGTCCTGCCTACTTTGCCTTCCCAGCCCACTGCTGTTCCCTGCTCGATTGTGACCTCATGTTATTCCAGAGTGAACTTCCCAGGGCCCTTTTTCTTCAGGACCCTGCCCTGGATTGTGGCAGGGGGCTGTGGATGGGAGTGGAATGCACTGAGCTGGCAGCAGGGGAAAGTCTGGGTTGGAGACAGACACCTGCTCAGGTGGCCAGGAATGGATGCCAGCCCAGCCAAGGAGGTCCTTGTGCCATGGCTAGCCTGACCCTAGGGGCCACCAGGTGGGGATGGTGTAGAAACCAAAGACTAGAAGGTAAGAAGGACTGAATTGCAAAATGGGTTACAAAGCAGAAGGCAGAAGGGACTCCGATTTGGGGAAGCTGTCAGGGTGAGAGACAAAGACCTAGGCCTCAGGTAGTACCTACCAGACAGGAAGTGAGGGATGCTGTGGCCTCTCCTCATCACCTCACCCCCCTAACTGCCTTCCTCACAATGGGGTTCATTGCTGAGGTGGGAGGGGCCCCCTAGGGAAGGTGTAGCAGAGGCTCTGCCTGCCAGACAGCCCAGGGAGCCTGCCTTTCAAGCATGAGCCAGACCACCAGGGCTCCCTGACTCCCAGCGTGCTCTTAGCTCTGCCTGCCTGGCGTGAGGTCCTGGAGACCTTCTTGGAGCTTGTCCAGCAGCCATCATGCAAGGTGGTGCTGGTGGCTGCCCTCTTGCTAGGAGGTGGAAGCCTCATGCTGTGGATTCAGAGGAAGAAGAGAAGGAAGACCACTGGTGAGACTGAAGAAAATCACTTCAAGTCACCAGAATCCCACAAAGCAAAGAGCGAGCACTGGATCAAATCTCACTTTAGCCGCCTTTCTGATGAGAAGCTGGAGGCCAGCAGCAATGCTGCCACCACCGCCCCCCAGCTGGAGGGTGGGAGTGGGGAGGCAAGCACCAGGATCCGCGTTGAGACCTTCACCACGAGGCACGGAGAGGGAGGTACCACTCTCCACCGGGAATCCTTCACCAGCAGACAGCATACATCTGGGTCCTCAGTGATCAAAGAGACCCACAAGGAGTCTGGGAAATCCTCATCCACGGAAGAGGCCATCTGGGCTGAGGTGGCTGCCTGCACCAAGGAAATTGACTGCAAAGGTCAGCACCTGGCCAATTCCATGCTACAGCGAGCCATAGCCTGCCAGCACTCAGGCCACCTCGAGACCAAAGACATCAACCAAGAGGAGCTGAAGGCCCTCGAGGAGGTGGAAATGAAGTTGAAAGGGAGTTTCCTTACTCAGCGGGAGAACACCATAGCCGGCATGAACCACACTCATACCTTCCAGGGCTACAGTCACTTTGGCCACCAGAGTCACCAGGCTCATCCAGGTCACCAGAACCATCAGGGTCATCCAGGTCATCAGAACCACCAGAGCCACAGCATGCCCAACCGCAGCCACCAAGATCTATGACCCCTTTGAAGCCACCTAACCATGTATGGAGATACCCCTCCCCCCCAGCAGGGCTGGCACACAAACTCAGGCCTGTTTTCTCTCCTTTGTGGCAACCCATCAGGCCCAGGGTGAGATGCTGCTGCCCAAATCTTCTCTTCTCCAGCCCCACGGGGGTCACAGGTTCCAGTGACTCCATGTGTGGGGTCTGCCACAGAGGACAGCCTCTGATGTTGGGAGAACTGAGAAGAAGTGAAGCAGCTGAGACACTCAGAGGCTCCTGAAGACCCACCGAGAGAAGGAACAGACAAGGCACAGCCCAGCAGCAGCTGGGAGCCTTACACTGATGCCAAATGCCTGGAACTGAGCCAATAAAACCTTGCATACCCTCACTCTGAGTCTGGGGGCTCTGTGGCCAACCTAAGGTCTGGGCAAGGAAGGAGGAAAGAGCTTCCTCTCCAGCAGTACTTGGTGTGGGTGCCGTGGCCTGGAGTATTTTCACTGGGCTCTTTTGAGACCCCTTAAACTGGCTCCCTGGGTCTCAGGTTTCAGAGATGGGATATCTCTAGAGGGTCCAACACTCACCAGCCTGCCATGGTAGGGAAGGGGAAAGCAGCCATATGTTGGGGATGGGGGAAGAAACGGGTTTTCAGAGAGAGTAAGCAAGTGGAGTGGGATGTAGGCCCCCTGTTCTCTTGGTCCTGACTCTGCCTACTTCTTCTCAAGCTATATGGCATCCCACATTGCAGCTCTCTCTCGCTGCCCCACCTGCTTCCCTGGGCCTATCAGGATCCACATTTCCATATTGGTGCCTCCTCACCACCTACCTTCGGAGCTGTTGTAGAGTCTCTGTGCTTGTTCCTGTTACTATTGCTGTGCCTGAAGCCGCTGCCCGCTACTACTAGTATTACCAATACTACTACTCAAACCTACTGCCATCGAGTCAATTCTGACTCCCCACATTGGGTTTCTGAGGCAGTAAATCTTTATGGAAGGAGATTGCTCCATCTTCCTTCCGCAGAGTGGCTGGTAGGTTTGAACCGCCAACCTTCTGGTTAGCAGTCAGATGATGCCTTAGGCACTACGCCACCGCAGCTCCAATACTACTACTGTTGTTGTTGTTGTTATGTGGAATCGAGTTGGCTCCGACTCATAGCGACCCCTCCTTGGGTTTCCGAGGCAGTTATCACTACGGAAGTAGGATTGCCCAATCTTCCTTCCGAGAAGTGGCTGGTGGGTTTGAACCACCAGCCGTCTGGTTAGCAGGCAAGTGTCTTAGCCACTATGCTACCAGAGCTCCCATACTACTAGCTTCCCCTTTTTAAGTTTTTATTATACTCCATGCTTTGTGTTAAGTGTTAAAACTTAAGCTATAGCCAAATGGGAAAGCTATTATGTTATGTATTTTGCAAATGAAGAGTCTGAGTTTCAGAAAAATTATGCTCAGATGACATAGATTGTAAGTGATGTTGTTAGGATTAGATCCCGATTTTGCCTGATTCCAAACCTGAACCGCTAATCTCTGCCCCGTACTGCTTGTCAGGCTTCTTCCCACCGTCCCTGGGTGAGAGAGGGAGGATCTATCTCTCTCATCTTTATTCCTCACCTCTTCGCAGATATTCTGACACTTTCTATGCCCTCTTGCAAGCCTGGAACTCAAACTACAAGGCATATCTAATCCCAAGTGACTCCTTTACATAGAAATTAATCCGCATTTGGATCTATTACGGATTTACCAGTTGTTCCCAGCCCATGGGGCTTAAACTCCAGCAAGAAGGGTACAAGGGGGCGGAAGTGCACAGAGCCACTGCAAAGGATGGATAGATCCATATATGCCTTAATGTCATTTGATTTTATGGAGTACAGTTGGGAGAAGTATTTTAATTTTTTGGCATTACTAATGCATGACATATATATACACTTATAAAGAGAGAGAGAGAGAACATGAATGAGAGGGCCCTGGTGACATAAACGGTTAAGCGCTTGGCTATTAACTGAAAGGTTGGCAGTTCAAACCACCTGGCAACTCTGTGGGAAAAATTCCTGATGATCTGCTCCCATAAAGATTACAGCCAAGAAAGTCTTACAGAGCAGTTCTGCTCTCTTTCACAGGGTACCTATGAGTCAGAATTGACTCCACAATTTTAGATGTGCAAAGCTATATACTTTCAGTTTTATATATCTGAAATTTTTAATAATAAAAATTTAATTGGGAAACAAGTGAGGTCAATCACACTGGAAAAATTTGGAGACTGCTAAATTAGACAAAACGCACAAGAGGGGTGAGATTGGGCTTCTGAAAAAACCAAACCCACTGCCATCGAGTAGAGTCCTCCTCATAGCGACCCCCACTGGGTTTCCAAGACTGTACATCTTTATAGAAATAGACTGCTTCATCTTCCTCCAGTGGACCAGCTAGTGGATTTGAACCACTGACCTTCTGGTTAGCAGCCAGAGCTCCTTTTATTAAGCCTTGTTGTTGTTGTTATGTGCCGTCGAGTCGGACCCGAATCATAACAACTCCTCCTTAGGTTTCCAAGGCAGTATCACTATGGAAATAGATTGCCCAACCTTCCTTCCCAGGACTGGCTGGTGGGTTTGAACCACCAGCCTTCTGGTTAGCAGTCAAATGCCTTAGGCACTACGCTACCAGAGCTCCTTTATTCAGCCTTAGACATGACAAAGACAAAATAAGGACAATCATCCAGGATGAGGAAAACTACCAGCATGTACACGGGACAGAAAGCTACTGAGTGTGACTCCACTGAGTCACAGTCATGGAGTTCATTATATTTTATGGAATACAAAAAGTCATCACAAAATCATGATTGGTGGTAAGTCAAGTCATCACTGTCACAGATGGGACTATAGAAGTAGGGAAAGGACCATGATTGTGTATGTATGTATAAAAGGTTAAAAGGGGTTACAGTATTGGTTTTGGGGCTTTACCACTTGGCTGTGTGGTGGGCAGGGTATGAAAAATGACCATGCAGCCTCAGTCATAGCCACAAGGTGGCTACAAGAGAATACCAGGACCCCAACTTTTCATTAAAATTAGGTGAGGACACACCTAGGCAAGTTCCCTAGTTTTTGTGTGAGTACAATCTTCTTTCAACTACACTCTTCCTGAGGGCAAATTGCCCCTCCCTACGTTTGTCCTGGACTTCTTTATACATAGCCACATTGCTGGTTCAATGGTCAGAAAGAATTCAAACAGCATCTGAATTTGTGTCAAGACTCAAAATAGAGCTCCCACTGTAGACCACAGCCTTCCACAAACAAAGTGCTTTAGAATTGAAGCTCTATTACACTGACAAAATATTTTCTAGGCAGCCAACTCAAGGATATACTCTTGATAAGGGCATTTTTATAAGTAAAGAAAATGGCTAGACAAATATTGTGTAAATCCACTATTATAAAAAGTCAGGGAAAGGTTTACACATGGAAGGAAACTTTCTTTATTGATGACCAGGGACGGGAAAGAAGGGGATGAAAAATTGCTACATAGGTAAGAGACAAGTATTGATTTGGGTGAAGGGAAAGACAGTATACCTAAAACAAGCGACTACCACAATAATGCTAAGGAAAAGGAAGACGGACAGAGGTGCACAAGAGGTACAGACAACAAAGACAAACACTTTCACATACACAATACTGCATTATCAGTAACAACAAACATTAACCTATGGGTGGACACACACGTAGACAAGCTAAATGATCAGATATGGGTAGACAAAAGGGAATATACTCATGACCATATATAAGTTTGGTAGACGATATTTCTACATATGTACTTGTATGTGCTATAAGAATGTACATGGAAAAAAAAGTCCATATATATAATACAGCTAACAGAGTAAAGTTATGGTAACTTCTTAGCCATAAGCAAACACCTTGAGGCGGTGAATCGCTAAGCCCATGAGCTTGGGACCATGGTCACAGGGGACATCAAGCTCAACTGGCATATCATACTACATAAACCACCACTCATCCATCAGTTTGTCATACTCTGGTGGCTTGCATGTTGCTGTGAGGCTGGAGGCTATGCCACCGGTGTTTCAAATACCAGTAGGGTCACCCATGGTGGACAGGTTTCAGTGGATCTTCTAAATAAACTAAGACAGTCTTGGAAGAAAGAAGGGGCCATCCGCTTCTCAAATAATTGGCCAGTGAAAACCTTATGAATAGCAGTGAAACACTGTCTGATATATTCCTGGAAAACTTTATGAATAGCCCTGAGTACCAGGCAGTGTTTCGTTTTGTTGTCCATAGGGTTGCTATGAGTCAGAGCCAACTCAACAGCACCTAACAACAACTACATAAAAAATTAGTTCTACATCCTACCTGTTGTTTTATTAATATGTAAAGGCATCTGACTGTGTGGATCATAACAAATTATGGATAACATTGAGAATAATGGGAATTCCAGAACACTTAATTGTGCTTATGAGGAATCTGTATATAGACCAAGAGGCAGTTATTTGAACAGAACATGGGGATACTGAATGGTTTAAAGGAAAGGTTTGTGTCAGGGTTATATCCTTTCACCATACTTATTCAATCTGTATGCTGAGCAAATAATCGAAGAAGCTGAACTGTATGAAGAAGAATGCAGCATCAGGATTGGAGGAAGACTTATTAACAACCCATGATATGCAGATGGCACACCTTTCTTGCTGAAAGTGAGAAAGACTTGAAGCACTTACG